TCACAATCCCCCATTCCATCTAAATACGTGTTAACTTATATTTGGATGTAATGGTTTGAGAATGACTTCCGTGTTCTGTGGGAAGTATTCTCTCTCCAAGATTTCCAGGAGCTTCCATTCTTCTGACCATCTCAGGCACCAAGTTCCTGCCTATGACTTGATGTCTTTATTACTGGAAGGCTTGCTTCCTTGCACCACATCCCCCTCTTGGTGAATGCTGAACATTTTACTTCATTTTCTTCCAAATAAACAAAAAGCTCTAATGTAAAGCAGATTTTTACTAAAGGTTTTTTTTTTTTGTTTGTTTGTTTTTTGTTTTGTTTTGTTTTGTTTTTTTTTTTTTTTTTTTTTTTTGAGTGGGGAGGGGAAATACAGGTGTTTTAGCACTGCAAAAAGTGCAAATAACTTAAACTAAGAGTGCTGGTGCTGATAGCAACCACCACCACCACCACCATTCACACAGGTCACTATGTGCCAGGCCCGCTCCTAAACGCTCTGCGTGTATGGACATATGTAGTCGCTGTCTTCAGTAGGCCCTTGCCATTCCTGCCATCAGACATTTCTGTGTCTTTCTGCCTACTGCTGAGCCTTCTACTTCTCTTCTCTCCATTCCGAGACGTCTCAGCCCTTCGTCCCATGCTCTCTAATCCCATCAAATTCCCCTCACCTCACTTTGTAGAACAACTTGATTCTTGTCTTGCCTTCACCCACCTGGGTTGTGCTTAAGGCTTCCTGTTTCCTTCTCATGACGAAAAAGATGTTTTTCTTGACAAACATCCCATGGCTTAGACATGACTTACGCTGTTCCCTCAAGAAGAAGGAGCGATCATACCGGTTTGTGTTACACGCTTATTATAACCCCTCCAAAATGTGATGAAAGTAAAATGTAAAATTATACCCCTCCTCTGCATTTCTACTTCCTTGAAGTAACCGCTGTGAAGTATAGTCTAATAATGGTTAAAACGTTCCTACTTAATAATTTTATGGCTTTGGGCAAGCCACTTAGTCTCTGATTCAGTCTTCTCATCTGTAAAACAGGGAAAATACTCCCCCCATCATAGGGGTGGTGGGGGTCACATGAGATACTCTTCAGTGCTTAGAAAATGCCAGGGATAAAGGAAGAGCGTAATACATGCTCGTTATAATTATCCTTCCAAATGTTTTGTAAGCATGTAGTGTTCCTACACATATGTAATGTTTTATTTAATGAAAATATCGGATCTGTAAAAATAGGATTCAAAAATGCATATTTTTTCTTGAAATTTACTTGTTCCTCCCCCTCAACACTATACTGCTATTCCAAGGTAGTTTACCCTCATTCCTCCAAATGTTCTATAATAAGAATGTGCCATTGATTATTTAAACAATTCCCTGATTTGGGAAATTTGGGTGGTCTTTTGGTCTTACCAATACTCTGAACACATTCTTGTCAATGGACTCTTCTGCACTTCTTTCTGTAGGGTAGACTCCCAGGAATGCCAGGGTTGGGTTGAAGGGCACATATATTTAAGCTTTTTATAGTAGCGTTAAATAGCCCACCACAAATTCCACCTCATTTACCCTCCCACTACAGGACAGAAGTGCCCTCTCCCGCACTCTGTCAGTATTTGATTATGAAACTTTAAACTTTTTGTCAATCTTTTTCATAGGTTGAAAAATAGTATCTCATTTAAATGTATATTTCTCTGATCCATGGTAAGTTTGAATATTCTAAAATGTCTGTTATCCATTTTTATTTTGTCTTCTATGAATTACCCATTTATATCATTTGCTTGTTTTTCTACTGTACCTAAAAGTTAAATATTCCCTTCTCTCTCCACAACAGCTTGTCTAGGACATACCTAAATCCTCATATTGCCTCATTCAAAGTTCAGAAATGTGAGCTTGCTTAAATGAAAAGAAAGTAGAAGTGATGATGCGTCTGTCAGGTTATATAACCATCTTGAGGAAGATGGCTTTCTAAAGCTTCCCATGGCCATTACAAGTAGGTCTTAGGGCACATTTGGGGAGTTAGAGAATGAACAGAGCTAACTACATTTCTGTGAATTTGGGAGTTGGAAAGAGAAGAGAAAAGGGAGGTGGGTGGGGAGAGTAGGTAACAGGGGAGACGGAGCCTCTGGGCAAGGAGGGGGATCAGTGAGAAATTCCAGGTGGCAAGTGGCTGGGAGATGGGCAGAAACAGGATGTCCAGTAGTCATTTAACTTTGTACATCCCCAGGCCGGGCGCAGTGGCTCATGACTGAAATCCTAGCATTTTGGGAGCTCAAGGCAGGCAGATTGCCTGAGCTCAGGAGTTCAAGACCAGCCTGTGCAACATGACAAAACCCCATCTCTACTAAATATATAAAAAATAAGCCGGGCGTGGTGGTAAGTGCCTGTAGTCCCAGCTACTCAGGAGGCTGAGGCAGGAGATGGCTTGAACCCGGGAGGTGGAGGTTGCAGTGAGCTGAGATCATGCCACTGAACTCCAGCTTGGGCAACAAGAGTGACATCTGTCTCAAAAACAAAACAAAACAAAACAAAACAAAAAAAAGTTTGTGCATCCCCAGACATTCAGTGTGTTGAGACTTCTGTAGCGATCAAGTAACTGGAGCTGAATTCCATGTCTGGGCTGATGGCGTGCACAGCAGAGAAAAGCCATGGAGTTTGAGATGCCGGAGAGTTCAGAAGTGGGTGGAGATCGGGGAGAGCCCCCTTCAGGTCATTTGGATGAGGACCCTACGATTCAGCATTTGTTTGCACTTGTGTCCACAACCACACTGCACCCTAATAGAGTGACGGCATTCAGTGTTTAATACAGAGTTTCTCATAATCAGGTTTGAAGAGAAGTTCTCCAGAGCCTACAAAAGTTTTTCTCCCTTTAAATGGGGTTTGCATTTTATTCACATTTGAGAGAAACTGTCCTAAAGTGCAACTAAGATTTGTTAAAGAAAATCTTGTAAGACCTTTCATATACTGTCTGTATACAAATCGATGATGATGATAATTTTTATCTAATTTTTAAAGTACATCGGAATTTCTATAAGGAAATCTTTTATTTTTTATAGATATAAAGCTTTCATCAAATCAGATAGATCTAACTTGATTTAGCTTAAACTGCTGAGGGTCTATCGTTCTGTCAAGGCAGGCAAGATCAAAGTTGCTTGCATATCACACCTGCAGTCTTGCCTTGGAGAGTTAATATTTACACAGCTATGCTTCACAGTTTTATTCACAATAGGAATTGTAGTAAAAGAGTCAGTTTTCCTTATAAATTGATAATGATCCAATATAGAGAAGAGTGCTTCTAATTGTGAAGGTTCATGTCCTACCTATTAAGATCACAATTGGAAAAGTCAATACACATTTTTTGACTACTTTGAGCCAGGCATTGTGTGAGGCACAGCAGGAAAATAGAAATGTTTACTGCACTGGAGGAGACAACAATATAAACTAATGATTAGACTATGCAGAGGTTTCAGAAGACTTGAGGGACAGGTTGTAAGGACATGTCAAAGGAAATAAGTCTGTCACTGGCTTGGGAAGGCTTCATGGAGGAGGTGACATTTTCATCAGGCTTCCAGGGAAAGAGGATTTCTAAGCCAGAAGACAGCAAAGACAAGAACATAAAAGCTATGAAATTCTATACAAGGCAACTTGCTCATTAAAGAAACACTGAGGTTGGGAATGGCATTCTAAGGTTTGTCATTCTTATCCTCAAAGCTAAAATTCACATCACCTGCATTTTGTCCCTTCTGCTGCAGATGTTTTCCATTTGGTCCTAAACCCTGAGGCAGTGAAAATATCTTTCTCATAAAAAAGCAAGGACTACCTCTAGATTTGAACATCATGGTGTGGTAGAGGTACTCACAGAACTACCTGAGAGACCATGAAGTTTACGTCGGTATAACCACAAATGATATAACAGTGCTGAAATGAATCAAGAGAAATCTAAGGACACTTGGAAGACATTACAAGGCCATGTGAAATCAGGTTAAAAATAAGCCACAGCTTCTCTTGTGATTTCTGAAACATTTCTTTGTTTAATCATATATTTATTTTCATCTTCCAGTCATCATAAATAATCCACTTTATTACTTAACCAATCCATTTGAAAAAAATTTGGTATTTAGCATAAACAAACACTGAACATTAGCTAGAGGTGTGTTAATTTTTAACAGAATAGGGAAGAATTTTTAAATCCCACAAAAATTTTAAAACTAAGAAAAAACACATGAAAATATCAACATTATCACCCATTAAAAAATCAAATTTTATAACAACCATTAAAAAAAATCCAGGTGGAAAAATGAGTAAACATAAATATAATCTAATATATTTCTTTCATAAATACATTTAGACAAAACAAACACATAAAACAGATAGCTTGACAGTGTATAAACATAACAAAATATTTTAAGCTCTGAATAATTAATCCCAATAAGCATGAATTAAAAATAAATTTTGATTTTATATTTTGTTCCTTATGAAAAAATATGCCAAATAATTTGTGTAAAAAAAGAAATAGGCAGAAACATATCACTAAAGCCACCGAAGTTCACTATGTAAAGATGATTTGAAAACAAAACACATTTTTTAAAGCAAAAGATAAAATGTTATCGTAGCATTTTCCGTTGAATTTTTATCCCATAATCACACCTACTATAGGTGTTAGACAATAGAGGTAGATAAGTTGGCAGGAGGGGAGGGGAATCAGTATTCCAATGTTAGAGAGAAAGATTTTTATGATAGGGCAGATAGATGACTGACTGACAGACAGACAGTACAGACAGACAGACAGACAGACAGACAGACATTTCCATTTACTCCAAAATTCAAAGAAGCTTATAGGAGCAAAACATAAAAGCCTTTCTGTGCTCCACAGGTAAGCACAGATGATATCAAGCAAAATCACTGTAGTTTAAGACACAAGTAAAATTCTTTAGAACAGTGTATACTACAGCCTAGTTAGCATAGACTTTTGCAGGGTCCGGCATTAGCCTTGCAATTCACACTGAGAATAACTCTCGTGAAATATATTCATCGACATTGACAAAAGATGAGACCTGGTAGTAACAATAGTATAAAGTTACACTGCAGATAAACTTGGTAAGTTTCTAAGGAATGACTTTTTGTTGTGGGCACAACAACCAAACAACAAAAACAGCTGCTGAGGACATAGCATGGCCCCAGTGAGACCCAGGATGCCAATATTGTCTGTCAAATCAGAGAGGACGTGTAAGAGGATGTGACAGGACGGCACGCAGGAAACACAGAGAAGTGTTCCCGCAGTTCCAAACGCGGCTTCATTCTCTATTTGGGTCCAGTTACAGTTCCTGCAGCTGTAGCAGAAGCAAATATTGGATACTCATTTGAAAGCTGATGCCCAACTGGGAACTAATTTGACTTGCTATTTTGGTTATTAAATGGTTTTGCATGTTCTTTTCATCTGGCGAGACAGAACACGTATATGTAACATTTGTTTGCATCCATGACCTTTGTATTTTCAGTTATTGATAAGAGCAATACGATTTAACTTTACAAAAATTACCAACATTTCTCAAACCTGCCCAGGAAATTTTCATTAATAAATTGTCTCAAATGTCATAAGTGTGCTTAATTCCAGGATGTAACAGGCTGCTTCTGGCTAACAGGGGCAATATGCAAGGTGGTCAGCACATCTGTGTAACAGGAAAAAGATTTGGTCTGGCTTGTGGAATGTGAATAGAATCCACCATTAATTGTTGCTGCTTTCAAACTGATTGTAACATTTTTGTGCCTCATATTTGGCTGTTATGAGTGTGTAAGTATAAGAAAGAAATTATCAAATAAAGAGGGAAGAACATATTAAGATATATTTTAAAGACCCTGAAAATCAAATCACAGAGTTTAACTCAAAATTTTACATAATTTCACTCATAACTCAAACATTCAGGCCCTTTCTTTGAAGCAGCTTATAATAAATTTAAGACATATAACACCACAATCTCTCATAATGGGAGTGAGGAATTTCTGTGGGGAAACTATTTGAAGGAATGTCTTTAAAAATGATGTCAAGGAATGCATATATCTTATGCTTTTCAGCATCTATTCGATCTATGACCCCCGCTGAGTTGATAAGGAAGAGGCATGTCACAGTCGTAGAAAAAAAGAATCACACAGTAAATCAAAGTATGCGTGAATAAGACTTTGGAAATTTTCACTGTCATCAGAAGGGCATTTTCCTGATGGTGTGACCTCATTTCAAACATTACAGTAACTGTTATAGGGTTGTACTGCACAAAACGTGCTGCAGGGAGAGCACGTTTGCCTTTTATCACTTACCATGACTGATTCCTGCGTTAGGAAAAAAAAAATTAACCCCCAAATATTGTACCACCCCTGGCAGTAATCAACAAAGCATATTTTGGAAATAATGCTCTTGTCAAATACATTTTAAGGCACTTAAACACGTATATCATATATTTATGTAAAAAAATAAAATATGCATTGAGGCAACATTCACAAGTACAAGTCTTCAGAATTGCTAGTATGTACAATCCTGTACATATATACATGGCTATAGAAAGTCCAGCTCCTTTGTTATACTGTCGGCCTCGTCAGCTTCACTCCCTACAAGGAAGGAGAACATGTTCAGAGTTGGACAGTATCCATGAGCAAAGTGAAAGCATCAATTAACACCAGATAATTTATGCTACTAGAAGGAAGAAGAGACCCGCCCAGATGGCATTATATAACCAATAATCAAACCTCTGGATACAAACACATTTCCCTGCCCACCTCTCTGGCCAGCAGACTTAGTCATTTCTCCCTCCTGCACCTGGCCTGGTTCCCCTGTGCACTAGATGGTGGCCTGGGGTCTCAGTCAGTACTGTGTGCAAAGCAGAGGAGCCGCTCATGGATACCTGGAGGATGGACTCTTGGTGTTTATTCTAATGGCCAAATTTGATGGATAGAGATTCCAAGCCTTCTGGATTATTCAAGTTAGCCAGTGGCCCCCTGGTTTGGAGCAGTTTCTATATAAAGGAAAAATGAACAACATTGTACAATTTAGTCTCCCTTTTGGAAATGCTTTCGTTATTCTACAGAAGAAATTCTAGAGCTTTTAAATGTTCAGAAGAAAAATTCACTCTGATTAATTTGCTGCTCACTATGGCTGTGTAATATTGATGAGTATTAGGATTTTTCAAATGATATTCTTCATTCTTTGTCAAAATTTATATGTACAATTCTGACTGACAATGTGCCTACACATTGATAAACATAAGCATAAATATAAATAGAAAATTTCAGAGAGATAATAGTAAAAGAAAGAAAATGGTACTAAACTTCTTTACAACCAATGCTGAGTAGGAGGCTCAGAACCTGGAGTGGTACCCAGCATAGAAGAGGAATGTTTTTTATGTTAACAAAATTTAACATTTTGTTAAATAACTCAATTAGCGAATATTCAGGATGGGTTGAACTTCTCAGGTAGGATTTTGGGGGCCTAGAGCAAACCTTCTAAAAGTGATGTTACATTTCTGTCTGGAGTGTCATCATGGTGTTGGGAAAAGATTTTGGTGGTCAAATAGCCCAGTGCTCAAGTCCTAACTCCAGCACTGGCTGAACTACCCCATAGTCTCAGGCCAGCTGCTCCACTCCCTAATCCCATTTCCTAACCCGTAAAATGGAGAGAGCAAAGCCTGCCGTGAACACTATTATAGATAATGATGAACAATGATGATAATAGTTATGGCAGGTAGCTTTATCAAACACTCACCATGGAATCCTCTGCAACCCTAGGGTGTAGATATTATCATTAGTCAGCAGAAACTGAGCTACAGAGAAGTAAAGTATGCCCGAGGTTACAGGATGGGAAGGCACCAGTCCTGAGCTCTGAGCCCAGGCAGGCTGGCCCAAGATCCATCCCCTGAACCAGGTAGAGGATAGGACGTGCTTAGCACACACAGTGCTCAATAGGTGGTACTGTGGCCATCTCCTTTTCAGGATACTAAGAACATGACACAGGGAACTTGTCACTGGATGTCTCCTCTTCCCACAAATCTCCTGGTAACAGTCACTACTTCATGTATAGACAAAAATAAGTCCTGTTAGGTGGAAGTCACTGAGAAGGAGCCAGTTCTACCAGTGCTACCACGTTTTATGCATCATTTAAACTTGGTTTGCTTATTTTGGTTTACAATTTAGGAAAACAAATCCGCAAATATCTAATATATACAAGATTCTAAGTGTGGTGAACTTAATATTGCATGGATGGATTTCTTGGCTACTTAAAGTTTATTTTGTGATGCCCAAATGCAGTTTTGCTGTACAAATAGGCTATTAGATGTCTGGCAAATTAAAAATAAAGTAGGCAATCTTGATAATACCAGGTTCTATCTTACTGGAAAGCCACGTGAAGTGAGACACAGATGAAGGACTGCATGAGGTGAAGATGGTATGCACCAGAGTGGAGCAGGTATCTACTTGAAGTAGATTTACTGAACCTTTACCCCATATAATATGCCTTTCAATATGAATCAATTAAAAAGAGCTTGTAAAAACTGCATGTTAAGTATAATTGTCTCTTATCCCAATTTAACACCTTTAATCTCAACCCTCCTGTTCAAATTGGAATGGATCAGGACACCATTATTATTGTATTTAAGAAAATATGTACTTGAAAACAAAGATATGTAAGCGAAATCTAAAGCATAAGAACAGCTCCGATTCAGGAAGAGCACTTCAGTCTAACTTGGATCCAAATAAGATATTTTTGGAGACTCACCTTCTGCCTTGATACCATCCAAGACTTGATGGTTGGCACCAACACGCTTCCCAGAAGGATCTGAGCTGGGTGGTAGATGAGCAAGGGTACGGATATTAAAGAGAGGTGCTCATGGCCTGCAAACACTATCTTCAGCATTGGAATTCCTGTTGAACAAAGAAGACAGAAAACCTAGAAGCAAATTCTGTCTGTCATCAAAGACATACTCCATGAAAGTCAGAACTTTAGGTTATTACCGTATTTCTCCATGTGTATTCACAGAACTGAAATGAGAAAGTCTGAAATGAGTCACCAAAACTTTCCATCATCCTTTTACTACATAAAGTTCTAACTAGAATAAGGTGGAAAGCTGGTCAGTATTTGAAGGTACCAATAATTCTCACTGCAGATTAGAAGCTTGTCTAACCAGGACAGGAGAGAAGATTCATGTATGTCATGGAGTTGCTTTAAGTAGGCTGCAAAATATTGGTGAGGGAGACATTTTAAATGGATCTTCTTGCTTTGTAGTGAGACAGCCTGTTGGTCTTCAGGGAGGCCTGCCTGGCACCAGTTCAAAATCCTAAAGCTTACTTTTGAGAGCACAAAATACGTGATAAGATAAAGTATGGTATACACTGCTATAAGTAGGAGGGTATTTTGGTCAACTGAACCTTAATAAAGGATCTGTATGTTCCCTTTCAGACAAGGATCTTAAAGTGCTTTACAATCATTAAGTAAGGCTCATACAGATTTGTGTATGGAAGATGAATTGTAAAATTAGGGCTGAATGTTTAAACTCCACAGTGAATGTCATAGTGGAACTCAAATGAATACTACTTCGTGAGTCTACTATTCTATTATACCAAGGGCAGGGTGTGTATATTTTGTAAGCTGCTGCCTATAAAGCATAACTTTCGAGCTTCTATAACTAACACATTTCAGACACTAGCTGTCTAACTATGATTACTAATTGTTTTAATGCAGCCACGGTCTTCAGAAGTGCTATGTATGTATACTAGCTTTTTCAATTGAATAGCTTTAATAGCCTAGCTTTCTTGTTCCTCTGATAACAGCCTCTGAAAAGGAACCAAGCTCCTAAGCATGTACAATGATGGCATGTAAATGATTTTTTTATTAGAACACAACAAGGAAGGCTTGGCCTTATCAATTATCTGTACCTTCTAATAAATTTCAAACCTTTATGCAAAAATGTATTTCATGGTTGCTTTCTTTTTCACAGCCTCACATATCATTTCCATAAACTGGGAACACCTAACTCTTTCCAAACACAGTCTCTGAGAGGTTTTAAAGTACAAGCTTAGATTTTTTACATTTTCTGTCTTCATACCAATATAAAAAATGAAGAGCTTTTTTTTTCTTTAAATAAGCTTTAAAAATCTATTGCTGAAAAGCAGCATCTGATACTCTAGTTTTGCAAAGCTGTTACAATGAGAAAATAAAATCTGAACACAACTCCTCCTATTTCCAAGAAACATTATTCATTTCTTGGCCCAAAGGGGTGATGATGAGAAACCGGGGGATGGAAGCAGAGTAAATATGAGACTAAAGGGAGCAAGTAATAGAAGTAAATGATATTTTGTGCCTAGAAATGACCATAGCAGGACTTTCTGGCCCCAGATTCGAGGACTGAGGCTGCTAGGCTAAACCACCTATGTTGTCCATTCTTGGCTAAGAATCTGGGCTCTGTGTCATTCATTCTTCAGCAAGCTTAAGTGGGCTCAGAAGGGAAGCCATAGAGATAGTCCCAGGTGCTGCTGCTACAACAAGTAAACAAAAAGTTTTACTGATGAGGAAACTGAAGCACCTAGTGGTCAGGAAAATTTATCAGTGGTAGACTCCAGACTGTGACTCGGGCAACCTGAACTTCCAGTTCCCCGTATCAGGCAAGGGTCCATTCCAGACGCCATGGGCACTGCAGCTGCTGTGTAAAGGAATAGGGCCTGGCACACAAAGCACTTTCAAGTCCAGCCGTCCTTTCGAAACCCATTCTCCTTGAAAACCCCCCAGAAGCACTTCTTGGGGCAGCATGCTGTCAGACTCCCTTGCTCCCCACACCAAGATGTCCCTGTGATTTCAAATGGGCCAAAAACAACTGCTAGGGCTACCCCAGTAATGGGGTAGCAAGGAATTCATGGATTCAGAGACATAGCTTTGACCCTCAAGAAGCTGATGGTGGACAAGTGCTCTCTCCCTTCTTCGGACCCTAACGTCAAGTTGTAGGAAGCTCTCTTCTGGCCACTGCTGGTTCTTCAGCTCTTATCTCTCTCCTTCAAACACACCCTTCTGTCTGCTGCTCTTGTGAGGAGGCTGGGACTCTGCAAACATCTGTCCTTCTGGTCAGCTGCTCCCTGCAAGGTTCGTCCGATAGGGATCCCACAGGAAGGCTGGAGGAGAAGGAGAATTTCTTCACAGTCTGGGCTTCCTGCCAGGCCCCTTCACCGGTGCAGGGGTACTTGGCTCCAGCTGTAACTCATTGTGCCCCTGAGGGCCACAGCACCAGCAGGGCAGTGCCCCTCCTTGGAGGTCTGAGAACCCACTCTGCTGCCTCGTTCTCCAAGCTTCTAGGTTCTGAGAACTTTAACTTCTTCCCTTTGTGCCCTCAGCTCCAGCCACTTTCTGCACTTCTTTCTCCTGTTTCCTCACTGTAGCCATTTCCCTTTTCAGCTTTCCAACACCGCTGAATCAATTCCCTGTACTCAAAGGGTGGTGTCTGCTTTCCTGACTGACCCTGGTTGCCCTTTTCTTCCTCTGCCTTGTATGACAGTCATTCTCTTTGCTTGAAAAAGAGAAGGGATCCACGATCACTTGCAGCTGTGGCAGAAACTCGTCAAGTTAAATAGGAATTCCCCCACCACTTTATATGCCTGCAATATCTTCTTGCTAGTTATTGATCAAATTTCCTATCTCTACCCCCACAAGTGAATAATGCTAAAAATAGGTTTGAAAATAGTATGTCAGAGAAAAAAATTAGCTCCCAGAGGTCATGGTCCAAGTCTCTTTCATGTACCCTCTCTATGCCTCTCACACAGTGGGTTCACAAGTCAACCCACAGTAGGGGGTCCACTCCAGCGACTTAAGCCATATGTTACTTGTTTTAGGAAACTTTATTTTATTTCAGACAATGTATTGTCTGAAAGATGTTAGAAGGCACATATTGTAAATGGATTCTTTTTGTGACTAATTTCCACCAAAAGCATTTCCCCATTGCTCTGTGGACTTAAACTTTTCCTTCCCTTTCAATCATTCAATTACCTACTTTCCTTTCCAATTATTAGAGTTTCTTCTTAATCTATTTATCTCAACCTTTTCTTTCCTTGCTTTCTTTCAACCTCTCCCCCACATCTCCTCCCTGCAATCCCAAATATCTGCTTGGTACATTTTCAGTTTCTCCAAGGTCAGAACAGAAAGAGAAGTTGGGATAAGCAGAGTGAGGGTTAACACTTTTCCATGTTCGAGTTTCCATGCTATGGTGGCAATCATTTGGAAGTGGTGAGTTCCGTATCTCTTCTCTAAGGTATCTTTGCTGTTAGCAGCACCATCTGGACAACAACTGGAACCCGGGGCATCGTCTCAATTGTTGAGAGAGGTTGGGAACCTGCTAAAAGCCATTTACTTACCGTGATTTCTGTCAGCTGGCCAAGATTTGGCAAAATTTGCTCTTCACTTCAAATCAGAGAAAATCACCTGCACCTCCTATTCTGGAAGCCTACATAATGCACCACTCTTTTGTTCCCTTCACTCACTTGTTTACAAATTCACTTGCTCACTTAGTCATTCAATTACAATGTATGTAACCGATCAAGTACTCTGCAGAAGGACTGAGAAGCAGGATTTGACCTAACCCTGCATTTCCATAACTTACTGGGCACATGGATGACCACTCACACCTCCATTTCCCTCACCTTCATTTAAGAGCACCTCTTTCACAGTCTCAAACCTTCAGAGTCTCTCTGCCTTCAGAGTTGTCCTGTCAAAGACATTTTCTATTCTGTGACGGGAGTGAACAATCTAAAGTACAAATCTGATCGTGTCATGCAGAAGTGTATCACACAGAAGAGATCCCTAAGTGTGGCATAAGAGTGTAAGAGGATTTCATAACCTGTCCCAAGCTGCTTTTGCTCTTTTTCACTCTAAATCTCACCACTCCTCTGCTCTTTGACCTGGGCGCTCCAGCCATGATGGGTACCTTGTGGCTCCTCCCACCCATCCTTGCCCATGTGCCATTCTCTGTCTTGCCTCTAGACCTCTGCACTTGAGTTCCTTCTGCCTAGAATGCTCATCACCCATTCATGACCCACCCAACTACTCTGTATCCTTCAGCCCTCAGCTCTGGGTTGCCTCCTCTGGGAAGCCATCCTCAAAGTCCCACGGTGGCCTTTAAATCCTTCCTACTCCATGCTTACCTATGCCAGGGCATTCTAGCGTCACCTTCGCTACCCTTATTATCACCTGCTTCTTGTGTGTTTCCCTTACCAAGCTGTAAGGTTCTTAGGGTGAGCAACGGTTTCTTCTTCATCACCGAGCATGGTCAAAAGAAATGTGTTGAATAAATGAATTTGTGTTTTTCCAGATTCTGTCTTGAAGTTATTGTGCAGACTATCACTCCATTTTTATTACATTTGTTAATTAGAAAAAAACAATAGTAATAATTAAAAACCAAACAAACTTACTAGAAAGAGTTTTCCTTTTAAAGAAAAATTCAAATATAGGACTCTTTTCATCTTGCTATCACTGCAGTAATATAAATGAAGCAAATTAATTTTAATGCTCCCAGGTACTGATTCTGTGTCACCATGGTTGACAGGATTCAACTAGACTTTATGAGATGGCATTTGACTTTATGGAAGTGAACACTATGCACGCATTTACAATTTTACAGGGACTTTAAGCTGTCATGCTGAAAAATGTTTATAAAACATTAATCAAAAAATGCCTCTTTAATACAATGCATTGTCTGAAAGATGTTAGAAGGCACATATTGTAAATGGATTCTTTTTCTGACTAACGTAATTTCCACCAAAAGCATTTCCCCATTGCTCTACAAGTACACTGTGTGGATAGATAAAGAGCACTTTCTCAGCACATTACTACCTGATCCAAACACTTGGGAAATCACTAATGTACAGCATGCCATATTTCCATGTCA